AACCAAAAAGAAACAGTTTTTCACAGACGATTTAGTATTTCTCATCAATTGATTCATTGTCACTCGTGACAAGGCAAACAACATAAAACTCAAAATATCTATATTAAAAATTACGAAGTAAGTCTTAAACACATATTTCCTCAATAAAATTCAAAAAAAAGATTAAGCATGATTTAATTCGCAATAATAAATGAAGGCGTTTATCTTTGTTGTTGCGAAGCTTAGTCTCTCTAGATTTGCAACAAATCTGTTCTGCTGTTTCAAATGTAAACAAGCAATGGCCGTCATGGCAAAAAATATTAGGCTTAGCGGCATTTAAACAACTTTTAAATTGTTGATAATTCTAAAAATATTGCATACAGATTTACTAACATAGCATAAACACCTTAACCGGAAGATAGGAAAAGCATAATTCAATCATTTTTAAAGCAAAAAAATGCACAATTTACAAACATACTTTTGAAATTGAGATCCTCAGCCGGGTAACAGAGGGGATATATAAAAATTATATTATTTAGTATATATCCCCTTTAATATATATAAATAAATATATTTATATACGTTTATATATACGGGGATATATAAATAAATATATTTATATACGTTTGGTGCGGCCGATTGCAACCAAAATACGAGGTGCACATCTACATGTTATGGCAGTCCTATATACAAAATTTCAACGTTCTGAGGCTACTCGTTTTTGAGTTATGCGAGATACGTACGTACATACGCTCGTACAGACTCCACGAAAAATTCTCTTCAGAATTCATTTTAAAGCAGTTTTATAATTTTTTTGGAGGAAAGGAGGTTTTATTCTGCCTTACGTACAGATGTCACAAAAACATCTTTAAATTGCATTCGATAGCGGTCAAAATTGATATTTCCGTTGAAATGTGCTGCCTGAAACTTTTCGCGAATACAATACTTCCTTTTTACTTCGTACAAGGAAGTAAAAATACGAAATATGAAATGCTGAAAATATTTATTTAGAATATCTTCAAAGCAATTTAAATATTTTCTATGCTCATGAATATACAAAGTGCATTTATCAAATAATATCCTATTATAAATGAGGGAATAAATAGATTTATTCGTCATATTTTCAGCAAGTTTACAAAATCAGCATAATAATGATGACGGAATTAAATGTTTTTAACTCAACAAAACCAGTATTCTTCATTCTAAATTGCCCAAAGAAGTAATCATTTTTGGGGGGAAATGCTTTTATGTTGTTTTGCATTTAAAAAGAATTCAGTTGCATTAGCTAACTTTGCATCATCTCTCGAAACAATAATGATCAGCAAGAAGAATAAACAGTATATAAAATTCGTGTAATATGAAGGGTAAAACTGACGAAATATTAACAGAAGATATGCTATAATAAAATAAAAATATAATAAAAATAATTTGTTGATATTTTTTATATGTGAATATTCAATGTATCAGAAATATCTTTTGACATAAAAATAGAACTACATCATCAACATAATAAAATCCACAGAGGAACTGAAATGTATATATATCTAGCAAAAACTTTGTTAAATCGTATGAAAGCGAATTAGCTGATTCAAGAAGTGATTTAAATTAATGATTCCCAAATTTTTACATGTCATACGTTGCTAAGAAAGGTTTGCTTAGCGTTCACACGCCCTACAATGATAACGTCCTTAGAAAGGGTACTATCATTACTTTTACTTATCACTGTTAAATTTTACTTTTAATACTCTTGTTAACTTTTGCTATAAAGATATTTCGTTATAACGATCATTCTGTTACAACGACCGAAGTAAAAAGTCCCCACTACCAAACAAATATTGAAAGTATATCAAATTTCACTTTTTAGAGAACTTGGTTATAATGTTTCTTTTAGCTTAGAATGCAAATAGGTATCAAATAGAAATAGGCATGCAAATAGAATAATGAGCATCGATTGCATAAGACCTTTTTTTGCTCTTCAAATAATTTCTTAGGAGAAGTCTTTTTTTAAGTAAAAGACGGAAAACATCATTGTCCAATTGCTATTATTACACATCGTTTGTGCATTACTGCTTTATTGAGCTGACATTAATAGTGTTTATATAGTATTGGGCATAATATGGATACTCTGTCATATTAGCATATTCACAATTGCGTAAAATTCGGGAAACATATATAGCTTAATATATCAGGACTTAATGTTCTGTGCATACTTTTGGCAAACATAAGGGTGCTAGTATCAATGTCCTGACTCGAACAGTGAGCTGAATGCAGCTATGTTCTTAAGAGTGCTAGAAGAATACAACGTAAGAAGGTGTAAAAGACCTTTATTGAAATCACTATTTACAGCAACTCCCAACTCGGGAGAGTAATAACAGAAGTAATAATAATCGCGCTGGTTCTTGACCAATCAAGCAATTTAAAAGTAAAAATTCAGTAGATTTAAATAGTTGTTGTCAGAGCTTAAACGCTAGATTGGCCTATTTATGGTGCGTAGCAGCCTTTGCTAAGACTAACCACTTAAATTATTTCCATCAACATTTGAGGAATAGCACTAAGGTGTAAGAATTTAATACGAACTATTCTGGCGACGTCCACCGAACGACGTAGTCTGAGACTAAAAGCTCTTTCACACTTGAGAAGTTCCTCACTAACCTTAAATATAAACTTGGCTCCAACACAAATTAGCATAAAGCTGAACCGTGCGTCATTTGAAGGGAAGTTGAAATAAGAGTCACAGGAAAGGGTAGCTTAAAATAAAAAGAAACTTGCTTAGTTTAACTTAAAACCTTACAGACTTCCCCCCAGAATTGGCAAAAGTTGAACTACACTGGTCCAAACGGACCTGAGTGAAACTTTGCAATTCTAAAAAAAACTAACTTAACTTCTCCTAACCTAGGCCAATCTTTTACAGAAAAATAAAATTTTCTACAATTTACAGACGAATGAACTTGACTTTACATACAACTTCATCTGTTTTGCGTTATGTCTTTCGCACACTCCTTCCAGCAACATCTGGAATGAAAATACTTTAGTAAAACATAATAACAATAAATGCTACATAACGAAGACTTGTTTTCCTCCCGTGTAACTTCACACACATAATCATTCAAGCAAAAAAAAATTTAATTTTTTTTTCCAAAGTTCCTTAACATCGCATTCTACTGGGAGAATAGTCTAGACTAAGTTGTGGTTCGATGGAATGTTGTTGGCGTTTTATGTAGAATAGAAGAATTCTTATTTCGGAGTCGAATTTTGAGTAGACTTGAGTGCTTTTGATACGGAAAAGTTTTTCTTTCAGCGATAAGTTTATTTGTTTACATTTTCTACGGGTTTTTCCAATTATTTCGAATGTATTCTGTTTCCAGAAGAATCGTTAGGGATCATGCCTAACGAACTCAAGCGTAAAACAGATAGTGACATGGACAGTGGCAGCAATAAAGAGAGGAAAACGAATGGAAACTTTTATAGCGCGGACACTATCCCTATTGACAAGGTCAAAATAAGCCTTTTAAAAATGGCACAAAAGAGGTAAAAATTGTTCTGAAAAGGCAATTGAATCTGGTATCCCGATAGGTAAGTTGCTTAAAAAAAGGTTCTATTTTAAACGAAATTACTAATAAAGAAGATAATATATATATCACGAGAGAGAAAAAATCATCATTTCCACGAAAAGAATCAAAACAATAGAAAAACGTCTGTAAATTAAAATCCTTGGAAGGTGTGTAGGAGTAAAGGCCTCTATAATTGAAGATACGTACACAACTAAACATATAGTAATTAAAAATGTTGGATACACAACTTAGTTTAGAAGACATAGCAGCTGGTCTAGAAGAAAGTGAAGATTAAAATTTTCATGTATTATAAGATTTTTACTAAGCCAAGGTCGGACGAAAAGGTGCCAATAATTCTGATTAAGGAATTTGGTTCCTGTTATCGGTCTGATATCAAAATAGGTCGAATAAATTTTGCGGTAAACAAATATATTGAAAATACCATAATATGCTACAAGTGCTGTAATATAGGCCACAAGTCGAAACTCTGCAAAAGCAAAGTTAGATGTGCGAACTGTGGTAAAAATGACTGCAACGACCCATGTAAAAATAACACCAGTTGCTTTAGATGTGGAGGTGAGCACAATGCTCTAGACAAATCTTGCCCAAAAATAAATATCAAAAAAAGGGAAGCGAACGGACAGAAGCGTGAATCTTCATCGAAAAAAAACTTATCCAGAATTCCAGTTATTGTTCCTGGGCAGAAGTTGTCCAGAAAGAGGAAGAACAAAACTCTACTAACACCAATACAAATAAAATATACTAAAGGCGCGGTATCGGAGAAACCAGGGGAAAATGTTTTAAGTAAGATAGTCGCAAGATTAGAAAATCTCGAAAGGAAAATTGATTCTCTTTATGTAGATAATTTAAATCTTAAGGAAGTTAATAACAAACTTAAAACAGAAAATACATTAACTTAGAAGCCTGTATGAAAACTCCCTCAAACAAATCCAAAAATACAAGGAGGATCTTGAAAAGACCTGTCTTGCATATGAAAATCTTCAAACAGAACATCTAAATTTGAATACTATTCAGGAGGTTACTCCTCTGATATCTTGGAATAATGGGCCAGACACGCTTCAAGAAGAGGAAATTCCTCAAATTGACGATGATACTTTCTAATTTCATGTGTTAAGTTGGAATTGTCGAAGCTTCGAGGCGAACTTGAGTTTCTTGTCTTTTGTTTCTTGGTTAAACCTTCAGTTGTGTGTCTCCAGGAGACCTGGAGTCGGAACCCTAGGGTTCCTTTCCTCTCTGGATACAACAGTTTTATAAAAGAAAGAATTTTTCCCAGTAAAGGCGGTGGCCTTGCCATTTTTGTTTTAAAAAAATCTACCTGTTTCCAAACTTAGAGATATTGGAATTAAATCTGACATGGAAATTTTAAATATCAAAGTGCATGCTTACAGTAAAACATTTACTATAGTAAATTGCAATAGGCCTTCCGGAAGATTTAAATCAGAAGACTCAATGGTCTTGGATTCCTTTAAGGATCCTTCCACGATTTTGGTTGGCGATTTCAACGCTCGCCATAGAAATTTTGGAGATAGTATTACATCGCCTAGCGGTCAAAAGTTCATGAATTGGCTAATTGACTCTAATATGATGACTCTAAATAATAAGAAACCTACTCATATTTGTCGTGGCCAAGAAGGAGGAATCCTCGACCTTTGTATGGCAAATGTCAATATCGCGTACAAGTTGTCGTTCCAGAGACTTGATGATACGGGTCAAAGTGATCATTTCCCTGTGTATCTTAATTTTAATCATAGTTTTAAGAAGAGACCTGGAAAAATTAAAAGCTATACAAATTGGCGAGATGTCAGTATATCTGTCACGTTTGCCTGTGAGCCACGCTGGTAATATGGAGGATAAAGTTAATGCTTATACCTCTGTAATTAAAAATGCTATCAAGACACACTCCAGAGAAATCACCTACAAGGTCGAGCCAAAAAACCCATGGTTCAGTTTGGAGTGCGCCAAATTCAAACATCTTAGAGATAAGTTGAAAAGAAGGGCACTAAGATCACTTAATCCTAACGACTGGGTGGAGTATAAGGGTGCAAACGCTAAATACAAAAGAGAGCTAATAAAAGCTAAACGAAAGTACTGGGCAAAGATTTCCTATGAAACATATTCTTGCAAGCAAGTCTTTAGAAATGTAAAAAACCTTAAAAAATATCTATTGGTCTCTCCCTTGGAAGTTAATTTCGTGATCACTCACTCCAACGCAGATGTATTAGACAAGGCTTGTAAGGATCTTAAGTTTTACTAACGTTTATTTTATTTTAAATCTATACTACTACTTATTTTCTACTTCCGGCCAGAATTATAATCATTAAAGTATTTATGCAAAGTTTGTCTGGCGAACGCCAAGTATTTAAGTTGTGGCTTTTTGCCAAGCGAGAGAGAGGAAGCAGTTAGTCGAAGCAGACCGCTTACCTTAGAAGTTTTACTCAGTTGCTGTTGCCTTCCAGGCCAGAGGTATAATCCTCTTGATATCTTTAAACGTATTGTAGTGTTCACAGTTCTCTGTACTACATACGGCTTCCTGTTAATATAAGGCCAATCTTCCACGTTTATTATTTTAAAATTAAATTAGAGTTTAGTTTTATTTTTATACTTTTACGTTTAGACCCCAAGTAGCGGGTCTGTGTATTCCGAAGTACGGAAGTTATTGTAAATAAGAAAAAATAAAGGGTTTTGTATACCCTTCTTGTGTATCCTGTTTACTTCCCACAGTTTTGAACATAGCTTTAGTAAGCTCTCTGTTCCGAGTCAGGTCCTTGCATGTTCCCGAAGAAGGTTAGACGGAACATTGAACCTGATAGTGGCGCCCAACGAAGAAGAATAACCATGGCCGAGTTTCAAGAAGAACCTGTGCTGCCTGCAGAAGCGGCTGAGAATCCAGAAATGCCAGCTGCCGTCCTGGAAGTATTTGGTTACATCGTCCAGACCATGCGCGCTTCGATGAAACCAGAAGCAACATTTAATGGAAACTCCCCGGTAACCAGTTTTTTGGAAAAATTTGATGACCACTTCATGCTCTACCCTGTGCACACGATTTCAAAAAGTTACCTTAGCTACCAGCGCTTTGAGGGGCCAAGCGCTTAACTGGTTCAAATGTATAGGCAGAAGTCTCTTGGGTCAAGCAGGAAGTCCCACCTTATACTTACGAGAATTTCAAGACTGCCCTAGTAAAAGCCTTCCCTGTTGTAAGGGATCGTGCGAAATTAGAAACGGAACTTTTCAGTATATATCAACAAAGAATCGAAAACCTCTCAAGCTTTATTTTAAGAAAAATTCACGTCTTCAAACTCTTGTATGGAAACCGTCCGGATCCTGAGATAATTCAAGTGATTTTGCCGAGGTTACTGCCCCAAGTGCAAGACTTTATTGAATTAAGAAATCCGACTACACTGGAAAAGTTAATTGAGCTAGCAATCCAGTTTGAAAGTAGAAGAACGGCGGACGTTGAAAGAAGACGCCAATATCAACAGCGGAACCAATTTGGTGCGCCAAGACTACAGCAAACTCAAGCACACGGCTACGGAAGCAAAGCGAATCAGTGGGCAAGGAAACCCGAGCATTCAAAAACAGCCGGCGAACGTCGACAGTTCAATAGCAATCCAGGAAAAAAAGTCTCAAGGCCAGGGGAAAAAGAAGGAAAGCACGGAAATGAAAAATAATTTAAACTAAAACGGATTTCTGCTGGAAGAGGGTGCGGAAATCCGAAGGCCAAGAAAACCCCTCTTCCTTCAAGTTAAATACAGTAATGGTGAAAAATTTGACTCTTCCGAAGATTGAAGTGTTGGTGAATAATATCCCAGCCACCGCACTCCTGGATACAGGCGCGCAGTGTTCCTGTGTGGCAGAAGATTTTTTTAGGAAGTATTTTCGGAAATACCGCATATATAATTCGGATAATACGACAGTGTTAGCGCGCAAGGAGAGAACTATGTAAGTGTATAGGTAAAGTACCGCTATATGTCCGTATCAAGGACGAACAAGTAAAGGTGATGTTTTTTATAGTAAAGAATCTGGCAAGCACATATAATTTTAGGAATAGATTTTCTTTCAGAAGCACAAGCAACGCTGGATTTTAATGAAGCGTCCCTTAAGCTGACAATGAAACCAGTTCGTGAAGAAAAAAGGCTGAACCGCCGATGTTAAATCTTGACCACCTGCCTAATGACGAGCAACAAAAGAATCCGACAAGTGGTAAGTGAATTTGCTTCGTTATTTAGTGATATTCCGAGGATTTACTCAGGTTACTAACCATAGTATTGACACCGGAGATTCAATGCCAGTTCGCCAAAAAGCCATACCGGTATGATAAGAATAAAGAAAAAATTATAGAATGGCATATCACCGATATGCTACGTAAAAAGATCATAACGCCCATCTCAAGTAGTTATGCTAGCCCGGTGGTTTTATGTAAGAAAAATAATGACTATCCTTTGACGACACATCCAAAAAGGTGGAGATTCGCAATTGATTATCGTAAATTAAACTCCATAACTAAATATCCGGTATATCCGTTACCTATTATTGAAGAAATTTCTAAGGAACATAAACATCCACCAAATATATGACGACTTTAGACTTAACGACTGGTTATTTTCAAATAGGGGTTACGCCTGAGGACGTGCCTAAGACTGCTTTTATAACCAAGTCTGGCACTTATGCATTTTTGCGTATGCCGTTTGGCCTTTCAGGGGCCCCGGCAACATTTCAGCGATGTATGGACATTGTGTTAAGACCTGTTCTTGGAAAGTCCACATTTATCTATTTAGACGATATCATTATTACTAGTGATAATCTCGACCAACATGTACAGGATTTAAGACAGGTATTTTCTTTATTAAATGAGGCCGGTCTAAAAGTTAATGTCGAAAAGTGCAAATTTGCAGCCCCTGAATTAAAATATTTAGGTTACAAAATATCTCAGAAAGGAATAGAGACAGACGAATCAAAAATAATTGCTGTACAAAAGTATCCGACTCCAAACACGGCGAAGAAGCTCTCTTCTTTTCTAGAACTTTGTTCATATTATAGGTCCTTTGTAAAAGATTTTGCAGCTATCGCTGAGCCATTCTTAAAATTAAAAAGGAAAAAGGCAAGATTCTCGTGGACGGCCGAAGCCAATAGTGCTTTCGAAAAATTAAAACAAGCATTAACGCAAGCCCCTGTGTTGAAATTTCCTGAAAAGGATGAGAATTTAGAAATTTCAGCGGATGCTTCGGATTATGCGGTAGGAGCGGTACTTTCGCAAAATCAGCAGCCGTGGCATTTTTTTAGCCGAACTTTAAATCAAATACAAAGAAAACTATTCCGCGACCGAGAGAGAGGCACTTGCAGTTTCTGTTAGCAGTGCAAAAGTTCCGAGTCTATTTTGGAAAGGCGCCAATAACAGTGTACTCTGATCATGCGGCGGTAACTAGATTGTACTCAGGGAAAAACTTATCCCCAAGGTTAATAAGATGGGCACTCAAGCTACAAGGAAGTATAATCTGGTAATCAAACACACCCCCGGAAAGGAAAATATCGTAGCAGATGCCCTATCCAGAATAAAAAAATAGATGAAGAAGGTAATACTGTAAAGGTGGCAATGCTCACAGCATGTACAGTAAATTCCCGAGAAACTGTAATAACAGAACTGGGGAAAGATCCTGAGTTTGGAAGCATTTATGAGTATTTAAAGGATCCTGAAAATTTTAGCCACCAAGATATTGTGGCGATAAGAAATAGGGCGGCCCATTACGAACTAATAGATGGTCTATTATTTTATACAAAAACTACGAATTCCAACAACGAATTTCGACCTGTTATCCCAGCTAGTCTTAGATTAAATATCCTGCAGGAGCTCCATGACAGTCCTTTAGCTTCTCATGCTGGTATTCGAAAAACTATCCAACGCGTACGCGAGGCAGTCTATTTTCCTGAACTGCAAAAGTTAACAAGGGCGTATGTCCAGTCCTGCCCAACATGTCAAGCAGTTAATTATATTAATTTCCGCCCGGCCGGGTTTCTAAATAGTATTAAATCCGAATTTCCAAATGAAATAATTGGCATCGATTTATTGGGCCCTTTCCCAAAAAGTCAGTTAAATAAAAGTCGCTATCTCCTTGTTATGGTTGATCATTTTAGTAAATGGACCGAAATTGTTCCCTTAAAACGAGCCTCCGCGAAATTAGTTACTGATTCTATTTTAAATAAATATATTTTAAAATACGGGGCGCCCCTAAAAGTTATATCGGATAATGGTCCTCAATTTGTAAGTAATATATTTGAAGACATGTGCCAAAAACTGGGCATACGTCATTTAAAAATGGTCCCGTATCGGCCGCAATCAAATATAGCGGAACGGGTCAATAGAAATATAGTGAAAATTATCCGTAGTTATGTTAAAAATTTTCATAAAAGCTGGGATAACTATGTCAATGAATTTGCTTTCGCCCTTAGGACCGCAAAACATGATACAACGGGCAAAACTCCTGAGTTATTTTTAGGCAGAAAGATTATAACGCCGTTAGATAAATTATTTTATGTGCAACAAAGAGCCCCAGAATTTAAAATGGGTGATATAGAAAAACTAATTAAGGAAGCAAAAAGAGAATACGGAAGTAGCACAAAGAAAACAGAAGCTCTATTATGATTTGAAACGACGGGGAGTAACTTATAAAGTAGGGGATAAAGTTTTAAAAATTAAGCATTCACTTTCTTCAGCACCAGAAGATAAAACTGCCAAATTTTTTCCACGATTTGAAGGACCATATGTTATAGAAAAAATAACTCACGCTGTAGTAGTGTTAAAAGCCAGAAATGGTGAAACCTGCTCCGCAAACATTGATCAAATCAAACTCTACTATGATCGTAATAAAATGCAAATATTTTCAGATCTTTTGCAGGATCCGGCACGGCAGACACCGCAGGCACAAGCTCCAGAGGTGGGGAAAAACGACAAGTACAAGGAGCAAGCCATTAAGAGGCAGGAGCAAGTGAAAAGAAAGTTTCCCCGCGGAAAAATTGAAGGTGGCAAGAAAAAGAAGCCGTTCCACCGTCCAGAAAGAGCTAACGAAACACCCCCAGAATGAAGAAGGGAGAAGGACGACGTATGCAAAGAGAGCCAGGAGAAATGACGGCAACTATAACCCGGCTCTAAAACGGAAGATCTACTCATCCGACAGGACTCTCCGCAGCAAATGTCGCCGAACTGCGGAAGGGCCATCAGCGGCGGAGGAAAAGTTACAAGGAAAATTTGAACGGCCAGCAACGAGGTCCAAGCAGGAACACGAAAGAAGTTTCCCGGTTCCGCCAAGACCAGCTGCCATCAAACGACCAAGACCACAGGCAGAAGCGAAAAAGAAGGTATTGAAGGGTGACCGAACTGGTGAAAAAAGAAAGCTTCTAGAGGAAGGCACTGAAGGGCGAGCCCGTACAAGAAGGAGGATAAATCAAACAACTATCTGCACTACCTTTAAGGACTGGGCCCAGAAAAGAATGTCCGAATATCACAAAGATAAGTAAAATTTTATGTTACTTTGCAAACTTAAGTTAATCTTTCATTCTTACTGCAAGTGGCAGATTTCAAGAAGTTTTACCTCATGCGAGGTCTACCTTTATCGCCAAAAGGGCGAGAAATGAGTTGTTACCGATTTTGGTATTATGTTTTTCAATTACTCGCGCGTAAAACTAAAGTTGATGTATAATAGCGTTGTGTAAAGACTTAAATATTGTAAAAAGTTATTGTATAAATTTTATTTAAAACATTCTAGCAGGAAAGAAGTTTAGTCTGAAACGACTTTTTGAAATGTATTATTTCAATGTAGAAAGAATTGGCACTTGCTTTGAAAAGAATAGAAGTTAACAATGTACTACTAATGTATGTTTTCAAATGTGTAAAATTAACGGCATGGTGATATGTTCTTATATACAATGTGAACTGTTAGTTTAAATGTTAAGAAATACCGTGATATGGTAAAAGTGAAAGTAATGTTAAAATTTTTTATTCGTGTGACTGTAAAAAGACTAAATCGTGGTGAATATGTGTTAATGGTTGAATGATGTAGTTAGGCTCTCTGACGCTACACTTCAGAGTTAGCCACTTTCAGAATAGTACCTCAGGGTTTAGAGTTGAAATTAGGGTGTGTTACGAGGTCTTGGTATGTTGAATTTAACACGTTAGTGTTTTGATTGTAGGAGGAAGTGTTGAACACATAGACATAAACACATTCGTGTTTGGTGTTCTTTTACAACACATGTCAGAGAGCACGGGGAAGAGATAATTAAAATAGTCATGAATGAAATAAGAATGTTAAGAGAAATATAATTATACATGTTACTTGCCATTTCATTATGTAACATTTCATTAAACTAGTTTTCCTTCCAGATCTCTGGAAGGAACCAGATTTGAATAAAAGCTCCTGTTTAGATGCAGTACAGATGAAGAAATTGTGTATCCTGGGAGCTGCTATTGTAAAAACAAATTTCTTTCTTTTAAATTTCTAGTTTCTAGCGAAAACTGTAAAAGATTGGCCTCGCGTTAGATTCTAGAGCTAAAAGTTTTCAACAAGGTCGTTTTAGACCTCAGTTTCAAACTAATTAACTCTGGCGGGAAGTATGTAAGGATCTTAAGTTTTACTAACGTTTATTTTATTTTAAATCTTTACTATCACTTCTTATTTTCTACTTCCGGCCAGAATTATAAGCATTAAAGTATTTTTGCAAAGGTTGTCTGGCGAACGCCAAGTATTTAAGTTGTGGCTTTTTGCCAAGCGAGAGAGAGGAAGCAGTCGAAGCAGACCGCTTACCTTAGAAGTTTTACTCAGTTGCTGTTGCCTTCCAGGCCAGAGGTTTAATCCTCTTGATAACTTTAAACGTATTGTAGTGTTCACAGTTCTCTGTACTACATACGGCTTCCTGTTAATATAAGGCCAATCTTCCCCGTTTATTATTTTAAAGTTAAATTAGAGTTTAGTTTTATTTTTATACTTTTACGTTTAGACCCCAAGTAGCGGGTCTGTGTATTCCGAAGTACGGAAGTTATTGTAAAATAGAGAAAAATAAAGGGTTTTGTATACCCTTCTTGTGTATCCTGTTTACTTCCCACAGTTTTGAACATAGCTTTAGTAAGCTCTCTGTTCCGAGTCAGTCCTTGCATGTTCCCGGAGAAGGTTAGACGGAACATTGAACCTGATAGGCTGCTCAGGCGGATATTTTCGTGGAATATTACAGCGCCAATGACAATAACCAGCCGGTTCCTATCGACCTTCCTTTGGCAAATATTGAGCCAATTTCCGCCAAAGAATTAATGTACGCACTAAGGAGTAAGAAAAACTCCTCCCCGGGTCCCGATGGAATTACAAAAGTCTGAGGGTCGCCGCCAAATATACGCAGAAAACCCTTCTTGAGATGTATAATGAAAGTTTGCAATCAAGTAATATTCCAACAATCTGGAAAACTTCCTGGGTGTTTCCGATTTTAAAACCGAATAAAAACGGGAAACAGATTGCAAATTACAGGCCAATTTCTTTAACGTCTGTCATTGGGAAAACCCTTTAAAAAATAATCCTGCGCCGCTTAGAGTGGTGGGCTGACTCAGAAAAAATTTTTCCTTCAAATATTTATGGCTTCAGAAAAGGCATTTGCGTAACTGACTGTCTTAGAGACATTTATGATTCTGTCTGGTCAGCCAGAAACAAAACTCTGGAAAATTACTTAATTTGCTTAGATATCAAAGGAGCTTACGATAACGTGCAACATGAGATTTTGATTGAAAGGCTAGAAAAGATGGGCATGAACACTACCCTGGTGCGTTGGATCTACAATTTTATTACTAATCGTACTATTTCTGTAAAGTGGAGATCTATCCTATCAACAGATAAGCTCATGTCCAAGGGCCTTCCACAAGGAGCCATTTTATCGCCTTTCCTCTACAATTGTTTTATGTTGGATCTTTGTAAACTGAATGATAGGAGCACCAAGCTTTTCATTTACGCTGATGATATCTACGTGCATGTTACTGTTAGGAAGGACAACCGGTATTCCTGCTTACAAGACACTCTCAAAAAGATCATTAGCTGGTCTGCTGAAAATAAGGTTGCTTTCTCCTTTGAGAAATCAACACTAATTGACTTTTCAAGAGGAAGAAAGAAACTTCTCCCATCAGAATAGGTAATCTCAGTATTGGATGGAAAAAGAGCATAAAATACTTGGCGTTATTTTCGAACACAACCTCAGTTGGCGTGCACACGAAGCTTATCTAGTTAAAAGATTAAATAACACTTTAAACTTGATCAAAATCCTCTCCCACCCAACTCAAGGAATGAGAACAAAAAACTTACTAAAGATCATCCAGCAAATCATGATTCCCCAACTCATATACGGATGTGAAATCAGATGGGGAGAATATATCTCCTCCCAAAATAAGTACGATATTTACATCAATAAAGCGATTAGAAAAGCCTTAGGGGTAAGTCATTTGGCTCCCAACGACGTTATTAGGAGAATTGCAGCAATTCCGCATTACAATAAGATAAAAAAATGGCAAAGAATATTATCTATCATAAATAAAAAATTTCAGGGAGCCGATTATTTTTTCCCCGCCACTAGAGGCGGAAGGTTTAAGAAAGAAAGAAAGGATTTAAGAGCTGATCTTGACAGCTATGAATCTAAATGGATTTTAGATAAGAACGTTGTCCGTCAAAAGAAACGGATTCCGCCTTGGATAAACTTTAGGAAATTGTGTAACATCGATTTAAAGAATCTCCACGATTTTGTCACTGATTACGCTCCTTTTATTAAAAATTTGACTGCAGATGTTAAAGCAGAAAACGTATGGGGCTCAGACGGTTCCAAAAATTTGGACGGAACTGGTTTTGGAATAACCAATCTAAAAAATACCGTTAACAGAGCCATCAAGATTGTAAGAAATGCTTCTATATACACCGCGGAAGTTTCAGCAATTTGGTACATTTTGAAATATCTAGCTAACCTTTCCGAAGCGACGATAATTTTCACTGACAGTCTTGCGGCAGTGGAAGCTATTGCCTCCTTCGAAGATTCAAATAACAACATAATTGAGAATATTCGATATGAAATTTACAAAAACATGCCAAATAGTAAGATAATAATTTGTTGGATACCCGGTCACAAAGGCATTGAGATCAACGAAAGGGCAGATTTTTTGGCTAAACAGGCGGTAAATTCACGCAATACTCCAATCCTCCCAATATATACATGGCAGGATATCAAAAAAGAAATTAGGGAAGACAGGGAGAGGGAAATTGAGACCACCTGGCAGAACACGAAGTATTATTGTTATTTTAAAAATGTTTTAAATGCCAAACAATTGAATATTAATTGGCCCGACTCAAGGAAAATGGAATGTAAAATCAACAAAATCCTCACTCGAAGTATCCTTACGAACTACCCTAAATTCAAGTTAAAACTTTCAAGTACTCCTTTATGCATAAATTGCAAAGTACGAGATGATTTTGAGCACAGACTGAATGAGTGTAAAAAATACATTCATCAAAGGAACTATATCGCCAAATTCTGCGATAAAGAAAACATTCAATACATCAAGACACAATAACACGCCGAATAAATACTAATTCAGAAGTCAAACAACAAAAATCAGCGTATCTGCGTAATATGAATCTCAATTATTTCTTCCTTAACCTTATCGTATCTATACGGCTTCTGCCTTACTGGTTGGGCATCCCCGGTATGGATTTCATGACTAGTGACCTGAGTGAAACCAGGTACATCACTAAATAAATTTGAGAATTCACTTACCAAAGCCTGCAGTTTTTCTTTCTCTTCTGTCGGCAAATGCTGTAGATCAAGCTCCGTGGGCCCATCGTCCTTGTTAACTGGTTGCATCGTAACTGTTAGCTTGGCTCCCTGAAAGTCGATTGCGGCTTCTGCTAATCTGAAAAAGTCCACACCAAGGATAACACATGTTTGCAGGTTTCTCACGATATAAAATAAAATTTTTACCTGCTCGTCGTTGATACGCACAAAAAGTAAGACTTTACCTAGACATTTACACTTCTCTCCTTGGGCCGCTATAACATGCGTGTCTTTTGCGCTAAAAATTCTATAACGACGGAAGTGTTTCTTAAAAAAGTTTTCAGAAATGGAGCTGTTTTGCGCACCTGTATCCAAAAGGGCTGTCGCCGGTATATTATTTATTAAAACTTCAATCTTCGGTTAAAATAAGTTAAATTTTTAACGACTACGGTGTTTAAATTAATCGCGGAAGGATTTTTCAAGACTTCGGATTTCTTCACCTTCCTTAAAGAAATCCCCCTTAGTTTAAATCTTGTTTAGCCGAATCCTTCTTAATTTGATCAGTTTCGGAGTTTTTTCCTGCTTTATGATGAAATTTCGCCGTTCGCCGGTCGTCTTAGGAGATCCATCTTTCTTTCGTGATTGCTTCGCCTTGTTCCCGTAGTTCTGTTGTTGATTCTGCTGCGGTCTTGGAGTATTCCACTGACTTCTTCGCTCAACTTGGCGACGTCTTTCGTCGTCTGCAGCTCTTCGACTTTCCAACTACACGGCGAGTTCGAATAATTTATCCGAATAAGTCGTTGGGTTCCTGATCTCGATGAAATCTTGAACTTGGGGCAGTAGTCTAGGGATTATCACTTGAATGATTTCAGGATCTGGGCGGCTTCCTGAAACAATGCTTATACAAAAACAATACAAATGCTTGAAAACTTGAATCTTTCTTAAAATAAAATTTGACAAATCTTCGATTTTTTCTTGATATCTGCTAAAACGTTCCGCTAGTCTAGTCTGACTCTATCTCGTACGACCGGAAATACTCTCACCAAAGAACTTTTAAAATTTTCGTACATATACGTGGGGCTTCCTGGTTCACCCAAAAGATTCTTTCCAATATATTTAAACCAGTTTAGCGCTTGGCCCTTCAAAGCGCTGGTAGCAAGCATGACTTTCTGAAACTCGTGGACTGGATATAAAATGAAATGTGCATCTAGTTTTTCCAGGAAATTACTTACGGTTAGTCCTGCCGTCGAAACTTGCCGCTGGTTTCATGGTATGCCCGCATAGTTTGCACAATGTGGCCAAATACCTTCTAGGGCAGGAGGTGGTAATTCCGGGTTCTGTACAGGTACTGCTGGTACCACAGGTTCATCTTCTTGCCTTTCAGGCCATCCTCTTATTTTTCCTCGGGCGCCTAGTTATCAGGATTTAAGTGTTCTGTGCATACTTTTGGCAAACATAATGGTGCTAGTATCAATGTCCTGATCTCGAACAGTGAGCTGAATGCAGCTATGTTCTTAAGAGTGCTAGAAGAATTACAACGTAAGAAGAGTGTAAAAGACCCTTTTATTGAAATCACTATTTACAGCAACTCCCAACTCGGGAGTGATAACAGAAGAAATAATAATCGCGCTTGGTTCTTGAACAATCAAGCAATTTAAAAGTAAAACTTCAGTAGACATTTAAATAGTTGCTGTCACAGAGCTTAAACGCTAGATTGGCCTATTTATGGTGCGTAGCAAGCCTTTGCTAAGTACTAACGCACTTAAATTACTTTCATAAACATTTGAGGAATAGCACTAAGGCGTAAGAATTTAAATACTAACTATTCTGGCGAACATCCACCGAGCCGACGTAGTCTGAGACTAAAAGCTCTCTCATACTTGAGAAGTTCCTCACTAACCTTAAATATAAAATTTGGTTCCAACACAAATTAGCATAAAGCTGAACCGTGCGCTCATTCTGAAGGGAAGTTGAAATAAGAGTTCACAGGAAAGGGTAACTTAAAATAAAAAGAAACTTGTTTAGTTTAACTTAAAACCTTACAAATAGACAATCTAAAAATAAACTCTGTTGAAAATAAGTTTCGTAAGTGATTTATCCAAAATCCTGTATCAGACACTTATCAAATAAAATGCATGACGCAACGGAAGTTAGCAGATAGAGAACTAGAAAAATCTTAGTGTTAGCAAATAATCTTAGAAAAGGAATTGCGTATTTTGATACAAAAGTCAGTTTTAAAGCAGGAAACCGTTCAACAAAAGTAAGAAACAGTTTTTATGAAAATATGGAAACTTGTCAAAGATAACTGTATGAAAGAATTCAAGGTACTAAAGTCAACGTTCGCTACAGTGCCCGCACCTTATACTGATCATTTTGCATTTCAGTTACCAGTGTGTAATGTCCAGTCGATGAGAGTATATTAATTCATTTTCATTGTAAGTATATTAATTCGTATTCAATAGAATGTGATGGGTGTTGTTATAACTAATATTAAATAGTAATATTTGAGAAAATAGTCCCACCACATTATGTCCACACCTAACAGTGGTTATTTTGTGTATTTTGTATTTCAGTTACCGGTGCGTAGTCTCCGGTCGATGACAGTATGTCAATTAATTTTCATTGTAAGGTCTGCGTGTCATAGCGCAAGCCGTTTTCGATAGAATGTGATGGGTTTTACTACAACGAACGATAAACTATAGTATTTCATAGAGGAAGAAGTTCCTTTTAGAATTTAAAAAAGAAATGCATCTTAACTTAAAAATTTACTTTTTTTAATTGCTATTCATCACTGAAAATTAATTTCTGAAATTGTCAGCTCTGTTTCACTTTTAAAGCGAAACAAAAGTTCAACTTTTGTTGAGGTCGTAGAGAACCTTTATGATTTCCATGCCAATTTGTCAAAGTTCTCCCTTTTCGAAAGGGGTAAAAATATTGACTTCTAAAAGTAAACTAAATTTTCTGCTTGATGAAAATAGGTCTAGGGGAGACCCTTAGACCCATTTTTATCAAGCGCCTAAAGTTTCTCAGTGAGTTTGACCTTTGAGTTCTAAATTACTCAAAGGTGTAATTTTGCTCAATTTAAAGTTCTTAAAAACTCGCGTGTTTCTTTTCCGTCTGTCTGTGTCTTTTATTACTGGTAATAAACAAGCAAAAAAAATCCGTATAAGTTTCGCTATTTTTTCTTGATTCGATGTGTTTTCTTTATTTAATTTTCGCTTTAACCATCATGTGTTATTCTTATTTCATGAGAAATATACAGAATGTTCTTATAGTGTTTCAGCAAAATAAGAGGAGTAATAGTTCACATCAAAACGAATAGTATATACTACAATGGAATCTAGAACCGCATGCCATTTAGATAATTAAAAAATTTGACTTAGAAGCACATTAACAAACACATTGCGTCATTTCTGAAGTATTTGATGTCCTGCCAGAGATGAAGCATATCTAGAGACTATCACTGTCAAGCATTTGCCGTTATGCCGTATGCCATGACGCAGCCATTAGCCACCTTTTTGCCAATAGAAAGAAGCAGCATCGCAAGTTGAAGCTAGTTGGATCATGAAAATTCATTATAAAGTTAGCCGAACTAAATATTGTTCTTTAAAAGCGTCATATCCTAAGTGCTTCAGATAATTACTGTGATAACATCTTCCTAAACGATTTCATGGAAGTCATTTTGGATTACATATATGAGAAACTTCAGATATGCATCTAATATGCAGTGAAGTAAGTGGAAAAGGACATAAAGCACAACGATTGTACCATGAGAGATTTCCGGTGCGTTATATGCTACACCATTCTATCTTCTCCAGTGTTTATAGAGCACTGGGTGAAACCGGCTAATTCAAAATATCTAAAAAATAAATAAATAAATAAAAAAGATAAGGAATATTAGGTAAGTATGCGGACGTTGGAATTAAAAGAGCATGTCTTGGTCAGACTTGCAACAACATCTTTCACAAGTACACTGGCAGAGGCATCCGACATTGGTGTTTCTCACAATACGTTGTGGAATGTTATACATGCCGCCCAACCTGGATTGTGATTAACGACTGATGGCCGTACTGAAGAGCCCGGAGAAGGCATGGATGCTTGTAAATGTATCGTGTCTGTGCGGCATGGGGGCACTCTAAATATGCGGAGAGCCGAAAATCCTCTCGAGAGGTTAGTGGTAGGAAAATGAGGGGTGGGAGGCTGTCGGACCCGTACTGCCCCGGAGTACTCTCCATCAGAATCGGGGGCGGAACTGAGAGAAGCCTTACTATATAATGCTCAAGGCTCTTGCCAGTGACAGGTGCAATCTTGCTCTCCTTGCCAATGTGAAATTCGTGGGCTTGTTCTGATGTTACTGTCAGACAAGTGAAATAAATCACAGGTACAGGTAAAAGTGTTGGGAGCACCAGAATTTCATTAAAGATTGCACAGGTATAGCTCCCAATCACTAACCGAATAGAGCAAGGAGGGAAGGATAGAAGAAGAATAAAGCTGACGATAGTTCTTTAGAGGAAGATTTAGAAGTATATTATTAAGAGAGGAGGACAGAAAGGGAGATCGATTATTAGAAGAAAAAGAAGAAATCTAGATAAAGGGTCATTAGAAAGGTTACTGTGTAGTGAGTAAATCAATTATTAGCCCACCGGACTAGACCAGATCTCGAAACTTTGTACCGTTTTGAAAGGAGGGAAATCTAATAAAACGAGTTTTACATTTATAAGATATTTCTCCCGCCTTCCTAGCGTGCCTTCGTGGTTGTGGATGATGACTCTCCGCACCCAGAATTTGGCGATTGGGTCC